CTAGATCGCAGAAGGGCGGGAGCCCTTCCGTTTGACCCAAAGGAGTTCCTTTGGCTCGATGAAGATTGGCCACTAACATGGCCAATCCCTTAGCTGTTCCAGCCGAAAGCTAAAAGCACTACTAAGCACAACGAAGCACCTTGGAAGATCTGGGCGAGACCCTTACTTTCCTCTCTTTTACCCTAACCATTCTCCTATAAAAGTGTTTGCATACTCTGGGAATCTGAGTTTTGGAAAGTAAAGAAAATAACCAAATAACTGGATTTTTATTTCTCGGATACTTTGGGGTCCTAAAAGTTCCTATTATAGAGACTTATCATTCTATCTATTTATTAACTTTGAAAAATATCCTTCTGCTGTTTTTTGGTTAATTGGATTAAAGCATAATTATTGTCTGGAAAAAATTTTATAGCCTACTGGGGACACCTTATGGTAAAGCCTGGCACTGCAACTGAATTATTCTGATTGTGAGGCTTGCTGATATCCTAGATTTGACCTTCACATTATCAAAAGAAAAGATAAAGAATTGGAAACAACTAGGTGATGAAAACAACTTCTAGAAATTGTGAAGGTGGACACTGACTGACTCTTTCTAAATATAGCCTCCACTAAAAGACTATCTCTAATCACCATAGAAATGGAGAAACCTTACCCACAACTTAACTATAAACTTATACTTGAAAATTTTTTTGAAGCAACTGAGCTAATGAACTCCAGAGCGAAAGCCAAAGATGTTATCTCCAAACTATAAACTGAACTCCAGACTCCAATTGATCAACTTACAATCCAAAAAACAACAGAAGAGGAACAACCCAACATTAAAGAGATTCTGTACAACAATATACATTCTATTGAGGACTTTGATAATCAAATACTGACTTCAATTAAAATACCTGTAACTCCTAAAGTAATAGGAACTGAACAACAAATACAACATAGTGAGAACCTTGACAACTTAGACAAGCAAACAACGACAACACTGGATATGACCTTTTATTTTACTCAGATGAAACTGGAGGAGGAAGAAGAAGACCAGACTGAATTGATGACAACCATTTTAAACCAAACATAGAGATTTGATTTATTAGAGCAACAACGTAATAACTACAAAAGGGCCAGTTCCTTTGAAAAATTGATAACTGGATATTCTCCCTTGATTCAAACAGCATGTGTGGGAATGAAGGGAGACACATCTGAGGATTCAAAGGCACTGGTATGGAAGCTGACTTGGCACAAAAAGAAAGCCAGAGTTAGATTTAAAAATGGGATTTAAAATCTCACTCAGTGGGTTAAGCAGATTTTTAGAGATAAATTAAATTAAATTAAATTATTAAACTATTATTTCTCCTGTTTGATCCCTCCAGTGGGAAAACCCATTCAGGTGGGGAAGAAGCACAATCCCAGCCAAGACGAAGTTGATGAGCTCCATAAGAGATACCTGGAGGCGCTCTGCATGCTGTTTGAGGAGCATAAATTGAAGTACAACGTGCCAGAAGACACGCATCTCTCTTTCGTATGAGACACGAAAAACCACAAACTTTGACACCGGCGACAAAGATCTGAAAACATCGAAGCCGCAAGAGACAAGCAAATCTTCCATGGAGATATATTCCTTTTGGGGCCAATGGACAAATCATTGGAAAAAATAAAACCTCACAGGTTGAAATGAGGGTCTTTGGTGCTCTCTGAGCTTGGTGGTTTTCTTGCAAATATTTCATTACCCAACTAGGGAACATCGTCAGTGCTAATAGTGGGTGGGGCTGATGATATTACCTAGTTTGGTAATGAAGCATTTGGAAGAAAACCACTAAGCTTTGAAAGCACCTAGCAACCCACAATTTAAGTCTGAACTATAGATATTCTCGTCTATCAGTTACCAATGCACACATAACAACACTGGACCCAGCATGAGTAACAAGGTTATTGTAACCAGAGCTGATAAGGATTTGGTGTGCTGGAGAATGGGAGGGGAAGCCCCGTGCTTCAAGCTAATTGGGGAATGTGATTTATGACGGCTAATTGGAGGAGGGAATTGTGCTTGGATACTACGTGTTCAGGGGAGGGGAATTTACTTTTTGGCTTGATTATGCAATGCCGATGCTATGCTACTCAAAATAAAGATTCTTTAAGGTAAACAATGCCTCGTAGTTCTTTGAAGAGTTTCATCTGTTGGAACTGTGACCAAAGGATGGCAGAATCAATGGAACTGGCAGAGAAGGGAAAAATTGGCAGCTTTGGTTTTATCAGGGTGAGCAATGTGGCCCCTTAACGACCTGTGGACTTCAACTCCCAGAATTCCTGAGCCAGCCATGCTGAGGGGAAAGGGAGAGGTTTCCAAGCGGAGCCATGCTGGCTCAGGAATTCTGGGAGTTGAAGTCCGCCAGTCATAAAAGAGCCAAGGTTGCCTACCTACCCCTGGTCTTGCTGAATGTCATTTATTTACTTTATTTGAACTTTATTTATTTTTATTTATTTGAACTTTAGCTGCAATTAGTCTGGAGAGGGGGCTCAAGGGAGCTGTGGATTTTGTGTGTGGCTGGAGAGGGTGGGGGGAACCCCCCCCCCAGGGCTGATTGCTTGCTCTCTCAAGCAATCTTGATGCCTTTGCGGTCTGTCTTGCAGTCAGATTCTTTAGGCTAATTCATCCTAATTTTATAATCATAATGAATACTGATTCCCAAGGTCCCTTTTTTTCTCCCTCCTTGCGTGAAGAAGGGAAATTTGGCTGGAAACACGATTCCATCTTTCTATAGAAGGGGTCGACCTATTTTTCCAAAGCGTCTGAAGGCCGGACAAGAAGCAACGGATGGAAACTCATCAAGGAGAGAAGCAACCTAGAACTAAGGAGAAATTTCCTGACAGGGAGAAGAATTTAAGAAGAGATTGGACAATGATACAACAACAACAACAACAACAATAACATAAAGTGTGAAGATACCTTGGAGGTTATTTAGTCCAATTCCCTGCTCAGGAATACTATTTCAGACAAATGGCTGTCCAGTCTCTTCTTAAAAACTTCCAGTGTTGGAGCATTCACTGCTTCTGGAGGCAAGCAGTTCCACTGGTTAATTGTTCTAACTGTCAAGAAAATTCCTCCTTAATTCCAGGTTGCTTCTTCCCTTGATTAGTTTCCATCTATTGCTTCTTGTCCTGCCTTCAGGAGCTTTGGAGAATACCTTGACTCGCTCTTCTTTGGGGCAGCCCCTGAGATACTGGAACACTGCTATCATGTCCCCCCTCATCCTTCTCTTCATTAAACTGCACATCCCAAATTCCAGCAACCGTTCCTTATATGTTTTAGCCTCCAGTCCCCTAATCATCTTTGTTGCTCTTCTCTGCCCTCTTTCTAGAGTCTCTACATCTTTTTTACATCGTGGTGACCAAAACTGGATGCCGTATTCCAAGTGTGGCCTTAACAAGGCCTTGTAAAGTGGTATTAATACTTCACGTGATCTTGATTCTATCCCTCTGTTAATGCAGCCCAACACTGAGTTGGCCTTTTTGGCATCTGCGGCACACTGCTGGCTCCTATTTAAGTGATTGTCCACTGGGACTCTGAGGTCCTTCTCACAGTTGCTACTGTTGAGCAAGTTACCCCCTATACTATACCTGCACATTTCGCTTTTCTTGTCTAAATGTAGAACCTTTACTTTTTTCACCACTGAATTTCATTTTGTTAGATAGCGCCCACTGTTCAAGTCTGTCCAGATCCTCCTGTATCAGCTTGTCTTCTGTAGTGTTGGCTATTCCTGCTAGCTTGGTGTTGTCCATCTATCCCCTCATCCAAATCGTTGATGAAGATGTTGAAGAGCACTGGGCCCACAACAGAGCCCTGGGGCACCCCATTACACACTTCCCTCCATGTAGATGCGGTGACCACGGGGATGATGCAACTATTGTCATGTGTGAAAAATGGTCATAAGTCGCTTTGGTGCTGTTGTAACTTTGGATGGTCAGTAAACGAACTGTTGTAAGTCAAGGACGTTAATTTTTCTAATCCGGTTCTCCATCGGGCAGAGAACATCCTTCTGCAAGGTAAGGAAGGAAATAAATGTGGCAAAGGTTTCATGTGGGTGGGTTGTTGTTGTTTTTTTAGTAAGGACTAAGTGGTGTGGTGTGTAAAAGCCCCACCTCTCCTTGCACAATTCTCTCTGCAGAGTGCACGGAACGGCCTTTCACCCATCAATGCTGGATGTCTTCAGATTGGGAAACCAGGCAATCTGGAACATTCCCTCGTGGCAGAAAGACACGCCAGATGGAAAAAAATCGGCTTCAGAGTTTCTGCCGTCCCCCTAATAAGGCAGGCTCTCAAACCAGCATTCAAATATTTTAAATTATTTAAGGATTCTGACCATATGGCGGGAAGAAGCATTGGAAAAACGGGAGAGCCAGCACAGCAGAAGACTCTAACCCAGAAATGGCTCCTTAAATGGGTGACGCATCCCAGCAGGGCATAAGAGTCTGGTCTAGTGGTTAAGGGGCTGGTCTAGAAATTGGGAGTCAGGGAGTTCTAGTCCTGCCTTAGGCATGGAAGCCTGCTGGGTGACTTCAGCCAGTCACCAGGAGAAGGTGAGTTCTAGTCCTGCCTTAGGAGATATGAAAGCCAATTGGGAGACTTTGAGCTAGTCCTTCTGTCTCCCAGCCTATCCCACCTCACAGGGTCGTTGTTATCTGGGGGGGGAAGGAAGAAGGAATATTATGCATGTTGCCACTTTGTATTACTTATAAACTAATAAAGCTGGGTTAAAAAACAATCTCATAAACCCACGCAGAAGGGTGCAGCATGCTTTCCAATGCTCCATTGGCGTCTTTCCCAAGAGGAGGAGGTGCACCAGAAGGAAGATGGGTCCCTTCCAACATCTCTTGAACGTTTCTGCTGCTTTGGGGTGAGGTGGCTGAGACGTAACAGAGAAGCAAGGATTTATGACCCAGCCCTACACACTGAACCGGTTCAGAGTGCCAAAAGGGGCCGGGTTTCCTCCAGATTTCCACATTAATTACTGTAATTGCACCCAGCACCGTGTTCCTCCTGGGCGGGCAGAGGCCACAGACTTTGCCCCTTCCTCCCGCAACCAGCACCACAACGTTGGGTCAGCGTCTTCAGTCCGAAGAGGGTGGAAACGGGCTCGGCTGCTAGGATGAAGATTGAATTCGCTCCTCTCCACATCCCGTGGGAGAGACGGCTTCAGACGGCTTCCGTGCTTCAATGGTTCTTCTGTTTTTTTTGCATGGGTAAAAAAAAAAGATGGTTATTCCTAATTAAGGGGACTTTTTCAGGATATGGAGGTTGCTGGGGGGGGGAGGAAGGGAGGGGGCTGTCTTTTAAGGCAGAGGCCCCCAACCTTTTGGGCACCAGGGACTGATTCCGTGGAGAGATGTTTTTCCATTGAACAGAGGGTGTATGGTTTTGTGTGCTGCTTGTATCCCGCGGATAGGGCTTTGCTTGTTTGTGTGGACCTGTTGCTGGCATGCCGCGGTCCAATACCGGTCCATAGACCGGGGGTTGGGGACCCCTGTTTTAAGGGGTTGCCAGAAAAATCTCCACCTGTGGCTGCATTGCGCATCAAAACCGAGGGGTACATTTTGCAGAAATAAGACTCTGAGATGGACAGGGATCTGTTTTGCAAGCTCCTTCAGGCAGGGATCTGCCTTTCTTTTTTGTTGGCCTCGACTTACAACAATTCATTTAGTGACCAACGTCACAAGGGCACTGGAAAAAAGTGTCATGACTGTTTTTTCAAGCTGATAAGCGTCGCAGCAGGTGTCCCACGGTCAGGTGATCAAAATTCAGACACTTGGCAACTGGTTCATATTTATGACGGTCGCGGCGTCCTGGGGGGGGGGTGTCACGTGATCCCCTTTTGCGATCTTCTGACAAGCAAAGTCAATTTGGGAAGCTGGATTCACTTAACAACCATGTTACTAACTTAACTGCAGTAGTTCATTTGTGGCAAGAAAGGAATAAAACAGGGCAAAATTCACTTCATAGCACTCTCACTTAACGACAGGAATTTTGAGTTCAATTGGGTTCGTAAGCCAAGGACTACCTTTATAACATATCCTGGATGAAACAATCAAGGAGAGAAGCAATTTGGAACTAAGGAGAAATTTCCTGACAGTGAGAACAATTAATCAGCGGAATGACTTTTCTCTGGAAAATTGCCCCTTCATGACTTGCAGACTTCAACTCCCAGAACTCCTCAGCCAACATGGGGGAACTATGGCCCCTTCATGACTTGTGGACTTCAACTTCATCTTAAACAATCCTAAAGCAACACCTCCTCCCTCCCCCTTACTCTAATGGCAAGTTGGAACGAAGAGGCCTGTAGCTGCCAAAGTTTCATTCTTGACACACAGCTAAGGGGAAATCCTGTCCTTGGGAAAGTCATGCCCTTGTCTCCTCACGTCTGGACTACTGCAACGTGCTCTACATGGGGCTACCCTTGAAAACTATTCGGAGACTACAGTTGGTCCAGAATGCAGCCGCGCGAGTGATAGTGGGTGCTCCTCGATACACCCACGTTACACCTATCCTCCGTGAGCTGCACTGGTTGCCTATTGGTCTCCGCATCCAATTCAAGGTGTTGGTTATTACCTTTAAAGCCCTATGTGGCTCAGGGCCAGGCTATTTGCGAGACAGCCTACTACCTCATAGTTCCCTTCGTCCGGTTAGATCCCACAGGCTGGGCCTCCTTCAGGTCCCGTCGGCCAAGCAGTGCCATTTGGCGGGGCCGCGGAGGAGGGCTTTCTCTGTGATGGTGCCCACGTCTTGGAACCAGCTCCCCCCGGAGATTAGGACCGCTTCCACCCTGTTAGTTTTCCATAAGCTGCTTAAGACCTGGCTTTCCCGGCAGGTCTGGGGTTTATAAAACCTTACCCCTGGATGACTGTTATTGTACTGTTTGTTTTGTTATGTTTAATGGTGTTTTTATTGTTAGCCGCCCAGAGTCCTCCGGGAGTGGGGTGGCTTATAAATTTTAAAAATGAAAATAAAAAAAATAAAAAAATAAAGTGTACAAATTTCTCTTCCAGGAACACCGTGGAGAATTTTGATAGGTTACCATGCTGCTTTTATTTTGAAATAGAGCACTGAAATATTTTTCCATCGGAAAATGAACAGGGATCGGTTTGGAAGCGTAGATCAAGTGGGCACTTCTTGTCCCCAAATCTCTGCTATCTGTTGTGGAGGGAGATTCTCTCCTCCAGGTCATCACTGTCCCAAAGATGCTTTTTCAAGAGGCAACTGGACTTTCTTGTTTTTCCTGTGAAGACCTTTCACTTCTCCTCCAAGAAGCTTCTTCAGTTCTGACTGGATGGTGGGGAATGGAAGGATTTATACTCCTTGCAGAAAAACTGGTCATTTGCATCCTTTTTAGAGAGTCGTTGAGGCCACTTGGAGGTTTATCTATGTCTTCAGGGTCACCTGAGTGGTGCAAATGGGTGGGGAGCCTTCTTGGAGCTGCTGAAAGGACTGTGCTATAGACTGGAGAGAGATAGAATCCCACCACTGGTTCCCCTGTTCAAGCAGGGGGCTGGACTAGAAGACCTCCAAGGTCCCTTCCAGCTCTGTTATGCCCGATTAGGGAACCGAACGTGTTAACGTGAAAGACCCCTAACAATTCTCCCTTTTCTTCCTCCAGCTCAGTGCTCCATCGCCCTCTTCATCCTCCTCCTCTTCACACGCTTCTGGCTGATCAGCGCCCTCTATGCTGTCTGGTGGGCGTTGGACTGGGACACCCCGAGCAAAGGTGGGCGGCGCTCCCACCGGATGCAGAATTCGGTCGTCTGGCGATACATGAAAGATTATTTCCCGGTCTCGGTACGTGTCCCCCTAGAGGGAAGGAGTATAATGGCATGGGAGGAAGACCTTGGGAGACGGGGACAAAGAGATGCTGCTTAGGGAACGAGCGGATAAGAGGCAGCAGAGCCTCCAGCTGCATAATGGGTGGAGAAAGAGGCTGTCAAGGAGATGACGGGAGATTTATACAAGCCGTCCTTGACTTACAACCATTCAGTTAGTGACCGTTTGAGGTTACAACGGGCCTGAAAAAAGTGACCGATGAGTGCTTTTCACAGAGGCTGCAGCATCCCTGAGCTGGTCTGATTGAAATTCAGATGCTTGGCAACTGGCATGTACTTAGGACGGTTGCAGCGTTTCCTTTTGCAACCTTCTGACAAGCAACGTCCATGGGGAAGCCAGATTCACTTAACAACCACATTGCTAACTTAACAACTGCAGTGATTCACCTAATCTCTGTGGCAAGAAAGGTCACAAAATGGGGTAAAACTCACTGAATCACTGTCATTTAACGGATAAATGATGATTGTATTTTATGATTACGATCATGATTTATTGCTTGTTACTTGCATGTGCACTGAGAGATGATGCAGCAGAGACAAATTCCTTGTGTGTCCCATCACACTTGGCCAATAAAGAATTCTCTTCTCTTCTCTCTTCTCTTCTCTTCTCCTTCTCCTTCTCCTCCTCCTCCATCTCCTCTTCCCTTCCCTTTCCTCCCATGCCATGCCACCCCATGCCACCCCATGCCATCCCATGCCATCCCATGCCATGCCATGCCATGCCATCCCATCCCATCCCATCCCATTCTTTCCCATTATTCTGTATTCTATTCTATTCTGTTCTGTTCCAATACTGGAAGCTTTTAAGAAGAGATTGGGCAGCCATTTATCTGAAATGGTATAGGGTTACCTGCCTGAGCAGGGGGTTGGACTAGATGACCTCCAAGGTCCCTTCCAGCTCTATTATTATTATTATGGATCATCGCACAGTCAGCCAGATGTTCAGACTGGATTTGGCATTTTGTCTACCTATCGAGTCCTTACCCAGGACCTGGGATAGGCAGATGTGGATGTTTGATGGTATTACAGATATCGTCGCAGGATGGAAGCAGTTCCTAATAAGGCCGCCTTTTGCAATTGACTAATAGCGAATTTGTCAATGCCAATGGTGTTCAAGTGGTGCTCCAGTTGTTTTGGGATTGCACCCAAGGAGCCTATGACTATTGGTACTACCCTTGCTTGCTTTTGCCACAGTCTTTCTATTTCTATTTGTAGGTCTTTGTATTTTGTTATCTTCTCCAGTTCTTTCTCTTCTATTCTGCTATCTCCAGGCACTGCCACGTCCACTATCCAGACTTTTTTGTCTTTCTTATCGACAATTGTTAAGTCTGGGGTGTTATGTTGCAGGTGCTTGTCTGTTTGAATTCTGAAGTCCCAGAGCAGTTTAATTTTATCATTTTCTATGACTTTCTCTATTTTATGATCCCACCAGTTTTTGCTTACAGGCAAATGATATTTTTTGCAGATCTTCCAATGCACCATTGTTGCTACTTTGTCATGCCGCTGCTTGTAGTCAGTCTGTGCAATCTTCTTGCAACAGCTTACCAGTGGTCCACTGTTTCTTCAGCTTCTTTGCATAGGCGGCACTTACTGTCTGTTGCTGTCTTCTCAATTTTGACTTTGTATGCATTTGTCCTTAAGGCTTGGTCTTGTGCAGCCAGAATTAGTCCCTCGGTCTCTTTCTTCAATTTTCCTGCTCTTAGCCATTGCCAGGTTTTATTATTATCTGCTTTCCCAGCTATTTTTTTCATGTATTGGCCATGTAGTGCTTTGTCTTCCCATGCCTCTATTCTGTTCTTCATTTGGTCTTTCTTGTAGGCCAGTTTGGTCTCTCCAGTAGTCAGTAAGCCTTCCTGATATACTAATTTCAGTGCATCTTCATCATTGTTCTTCAGATATTCTTCCAAAGCCATTTTTTCTTCTTCAACCATCTGATGTACTTGTAGCATTCCACGCCCACCTATTTGCCTTGGTAGATAAAGTCTATCAATGTCACTGCGTGGATGAAGGGCATGATTCATTGTCATTATTTTTCTGGTCTGCCTATCCATTGCTTTTAGTTCTGCTTGAGTCCAGTCCACTATTCCAGCTGTGTACCTAATGACTGGGATTGCCCAGGTGTTGATTGCCTTTATGGTATTTCCTCCATTGAGTTTGGACTTTAAGATCTTCTTCACTCTCTTGATGTATTCACTTCTAATCTTTTTCTTGACTTCAGTGTGCTTGATGTTGTCAGCTTGAAGGATACCCAAGTATTTGTAGTACTCTTCCTCATCCAGATTCTTAATGTTATTTTCGTGGGGCATCTTGATTCCTTCAGTTTTCATTATTTTTCCTTGTTTGATAGTAAGTGTGGCACATTTGTCCAAGCCAAACTCCATTACAATATCTTGGCTATATATACGGACAGTGTTGAGCAGCGATTCTATTTCAGATGATGTTTTTTCCATACAGCTTCAGATCATCCATATAAAGGAGGTGGGATAGTCTGGCAGATGTTTTTGATGTTTGATAGCCATGTCCTGAGTTATTCAGTATTGTTGACAGAGGAAACAGTGCAATAACAAATAGTAATGGTGATAATGAATCTCCTTGAAATATTCCTCTCTTGATATTAACTCTCCCAGCCTCTCACCATTGATCTGCAACTGTGTCTTCCATTGTGCCATCGATCTTTGCACAAATTTTCTGATGTTTCTACTGACTCCTGTTATTTCTAGGCACTTTATTATCCAATCATGTGGCAGAGAGTCAAATGCCTTTTTGTAGTCAATCCATGCCACATTCAGGTTGGTCTTCCTTCTCTTGCAGTTTTCCAAGATCATTTTGTCTATTAGGAGTTGATCTTTTGTTCCTCTGCTATTGGGGCGGTTTCCTTTCTGCTCAGGTGGAAAGAGATTGTTTTCAACTAGATGCTGTTGCACTGCATCAGCTACTACACCAGTTAGTAATTTGAAAGTTGTTGGTAAGCAGGTAATTTGCCTGTAGTTACCTGGTGTTGCCCCTTTTGCTGGATTTTTCATTATTAGGTAGGTTTTCCCAGTTGTTAGCCACTTTTCAATTTCTCCTCCTTGTAGTATATTGTTGAACTGTTTGGCAATGAGTGGGTGTATAACAGTTAGATGTTTCAACCAAAACACATGCAGTTCATCTTCACCTGGTGCTGACCAATTTTTGATTTTCTTTGCTCTTTTTTCTACCATTTTTTGTTATTACTAGTTCTTTCATTTCAACTTCTGTTTTATTTGCCTCCACCTCTTTTAACCAAGCCGCATCCTTGTTGTATTTCTTTGGGTTATCCCATATCTGCTTCCAGAACTGTTTCTTCCTTGTCAGGTACTGACTGATTCCTTGCAGTTTCTCCATTGATGGATTGGTAGAAACATTTCTGATTGGATTGAAATTGGAGGTTCTGCCTATAGTTTGCAATTCGAGTTTCATATCTACTGATTTTCCTGGCTATAGCTGTTATTTGTTGCTTTATTATTTCCAGTGCTTCCTTGATCTTCCTTGTTTCTAAGTGGTATTTCTTGATTAGGTATTCTTTGGTCTTCTTGTTCTTCAGCTTCTTTTCTTTCATCTGTTCTAGCTTGCTTGCATGTGATCTTAACTTGCTGATCTTATTTTCTAGTCTAACCTTCCATTTTTCTGGTGCACTGTTTGTTTGTTTTTCTTCTTTGTTGATTTTGCATCCCAGGTATTCAGTTATAATTGCAGCTGTGCTGTACATTAGTTGGTTTGTTTCTTGCAGTGAATTGGTGCTTATACTTGCTATTGCAGTATTTGCATCTTTTAATGCTTGTGCTAGCTGTTTCTTTGAAACAAGCTTCAATGCAGGCAGCCTTATTCTGTTGTTTTTGTGCTGTTCTAGATGCTCAGTTATTCTTTGTTTCAATTCTTTTATTTCTTTAGTTAGAGGGTTTTGTTCTTCCTGAGGAAGAGGTGCCTGGTTTCCAAATGAGAACAGTTGTATATCTCTACTGGATTCTTTCACTGCCAACTCCCCCTGGTTTGCCTCTACATTCTGAATTACTTCTGGTAAGGCTTTGATTTCTTTGCCCTGGGTAAACCTTTGCAGTTCATCCAATTCTGTTTCTGTGAATACTTTATTTCGTATTATAAATCGGCGTTGATCTGCTAGTCTCTGTTCTGTTATTTCTGATTCTGGATGTTGTTCTTTCCAGAACTGGTGCATTCGTTTTAGATATCCTCGTCTTGTATTATTATTATTATTATTATTATTATTATTATTATTATTATTATTATTATTATATTATTATTATTATTATTATTATTTTTAATCGCAGTCAGCCAGATGTTCAGACTGGATTTGGCATTTTGTCTACCTATCGAGTCCTTACCCAGGACCTGCAATAGGCAGATGTGGATGTTTGATGGTATTACAGATATCGTCATGGGAATGCTGCTATGTGAACAAAATGTGATAGAGATAGATAGATACAGGGCTTTTTTTTATCATAGAACGCCCCAAACAGAGTTCTGGTACATTTTTTGGATAGAACCTTGTAGGGTAGGCATGGTAGGTGAGTGTGTGAGTTCCGGCACCTTTTTTTTTTTAGATAGATAGATAGATAGATAGATAGATAGATAGATAGATAGATAGATAGACGGACAGATAGATATAGAGACATGCATACATACAGACAGACAGACAGATATAAAGACAGACAGACAGACAGACAGACAGATAGATAGATAGACGGTATAGGGTTTCCTGCCTGAGCAGGGGGTTGAACTAGAAGACCTCCAAGGTCCCTTCCAGCTCTATTATTCTGTTCTATTAGGTTATTTAACAGCTCAGATGAATGAGTGTGGCAGGGGGAAAAATGGCAGGTGTGCTTTGAGAAACAAGGCAAGGGGTCATCTTAGCCTCATAGAATGTAAGAGTCAGAAGGGACCTCAGAGGTCATACAATCCAGCCCAGTATAACCCCACTTTGCATCTTAAGAAGACAGAACTCTTGGAATAATTCTTCCAACAGGCATCCTTTATTAAGAGAAAATGGTTGCAGGCGTTCTTGACAGGACTTGGGGTCCAAGCTCTCCCATTCAAGGTTTTAAGGGGTTTCCCAGTAGCCCCACCCAATCACCCCCTACTTCCAGCGACAGTCTCAGGCATTACACTCCCACCCCCTTTTCCTTACTGCCGGCTGGATGGAGACTTCAGAGAAAACTACATGAAAGGTAATGATCCCCTTTGTTATGATTAGGCCTTTTAGTGCTATCCACATTCAGTTCCTTTGAAGTTGTACTGAAGGAAGTGAGGGCCATAAAGCCCCTTTGTTCACCCCCTTCCCTTCATCGTATGACAGAATCTCGAGAAGGCAGAAATGGGGTTTTTTTTAGTTGATAACTAGAGATGAAATATAATTGGCTTCTGACACACCGTCTTTCTTACAAAAGAGAGCTGAGACAGCATAAGAGAGCCAGTTTGGTCTAGCGGTTAAGTCATCAGGCTAGAAAGCAGGAGATCAGGAGTTCTAGTCCCACCTTAGGCACGAAAGCCGGCTGCATACTTTGGGCCAATCACCAGGAGATGCTGAGTTCTAGTCCTGCCTTAGGTATTGTTGAAAGAAATATCTTCATCAGGGTCCCATCCACGACGGGAATAAATAAAATGGAGGCTGCCTTTGAAAGAAGGTTCTTGTTTATTGAAGAGCAGAACCACAATAGCATGTGGCTCTGGGGCAACTGACCACATGTTGCTGGGAATGGTGGGTTTTTATACCTTCTTGGGCTTTTGTTCCCGTGGCATGAACTTTGACCTGAGGTTCAGAGGTGCCCTTTTGGCATCCTGATGGTGGTGGGTTAATCCTATTACGTCCTAATGGTCATGTCCTGCTTCCCTGGGGTTGTGGCTGATGGCTATGTCCTGTGTTGGATTTTTGGGTGAGGGGTTGCTGGTTCTAGGGGTCTTTTTCTAATCCCATCATCTCCAAGCTTCCTGGCTCCGGTCTTTCTGAAAGTATTATCAAATCTGCATTTCTACAGAGCTGGTTTCTGCTTGGGGCAGAGAGACTTGGGGGGGAGTTGTTTCTGCCTGAGACAGTGATGGCGAACCTTTTAGAGACCGAGTGCCCAAAAACTGGCCCAGCCCCCGCTCCACCCCCTGCCCTGCCGATGCTCCACCCCCACACTGTCCCCCACCCTGCCTGCCTACAGGGCCACTCACCGCCTACAAGACCCACCAGCAGCGCCATGGCGGCCACGCATCTGCCCGCGCCCCGCAGCATCAACTGTGCGTGATGGGGCGTAAGGGCAGAGTCTTGTCTACACTGCCTGGCTGCCATGTCCTTGGCTGCGCTGCTCCGCATGGGCCATGCTCAGGGGCGACTCCTCCAGGGGGGCTGCTAGTGAGGGGGTTGTGGGGGGAGGCGAGGCTGGGGCAATGGCACGTATCCCCACAGAGAGGGCTCCGAGTGCTGCCTTTGGCACACGTGCTATAGGTTCGCCACCACTGGCCTAAGATTTTCTCCATTATTCCTTTGGGGAAATATAATATTCTGCCTTTTTAATATTCCCCCAAATGGCTGGGTGGGTGAATTTGCCCCCCCCTCTCTCCCTCCCTCCCTCCCTCCCTCTCTCTTCCTTCCTCCCACCCTTCCTCTCTCTGTCTCTCTTTCTCAGGGTTGTTGTTGTGGGGAAAATAGGAGGAGGAAAGTGGGGTTGGATATGTTCACCACCTTGAGTTATTTGCTAAAAATAAAGAAATTGGATTGGATTGGATTGGATTGAGCTGAATCCTTTATTTGGCCAAGTGTGATTAGACACACAAGCAAATTGTCCCCAGTGCAGAAGCACTCAGTGACATGCAAAGCAACAGAATCCTTATCATCATCATAACATCAGTAAAAGTGGGGGGGAAGTAATTAAGGCAGGATATAAATAAAATAAATAAATAAGAAATGGACAAGTATGCTAAATGCCTTTGATCTTCCAGCTGGTGAAGACGGCAGATTTGGATCCATCCAAGAACTACGTCTTCGGCTGTCATCCTCACGGCATCTTCCCGGCTGGTGGCTTCATTAATTTCGGCACCGAAGCCACCGCCTTTTCCAAACACTTCCCAGGTCTGAAGCCTCACCTGATGATGTTGAGTATGTTGTTTCGAGTCCCCTTTTTCCGGGATTACGTGATGAGTTTAGGTAAGCCGACTTGGAAGGGATTTCTGATTCATTGGGAAACTTTTGGAAGAGCCAAATCAATCAGTCAATCAGAATAGAGCTGGAAGGGACCCTGGAGGTCTTCTAGTCCAGCCCCATGCTCAAGCAGGAGACCCTATATACCATGTCAGATAGATGGCTGTCCAGTCTTTTCTTAAAAACCTCCAGTGATGGAGCACCCACAATTTCTGGAGGAAAGTCGTTCCACTGGTTGATTGTTCTCACTGTCAGGAAGTTTCTCCTTAATTCCAGGTTGCTTTTCTCCTTGATTAGTTTCCATCCATTGCTTCTTGTCTTGTCTTCTGGTGCCTTGGAAAATAAATTGACCCCCTCCTCCTTGTAGCAGCCCCTCAAGTACTGCAATGCTGCTGTCATGTCCCCCCCCCCAGTCCTTCTTTTCCCTAGACTAGCCATGCCCAAGTCCTGCATCCGTTCTTCACACTTACGACCCTTGCAGCATCCCCATGCGTCATGTGATCAAAATTCAGATGCTTGGCAACTGACTTATATTTACGACGGTTGCATTGTCCCAGGGTCCCTTTTGCGACCTACCCAGCCAAGCCCAGTCAAAGGGGGAAGCCAAATTGGAGCCCCTCAGAACTGCAGTGATTCGCTTAACAAATGTGGCAAAAAGGTCATCAAACCACTTAACAACTGCCTGGCTTAGAAATGGAAATTTGGGGGCTCAGTTGAGGTCATACGTTGAGGACTCTCTGTATTGGTGACCTGGATGGACAAGAAGGAGGAAATTGTGTGTCTTCCCTCCAGAAGTTGCGGGCGCTCCAACACTGGAGGTTTTCAAGAAGAGATTGGACAGCCATTTGTCTGAAATAGTAGGGTCCCCCGCTTGAGCAGAGGGATGGACTAGAAGACCTCCAAGGTCCCTTCCACTCTGTTATTCCCTGTTAAGGCTATTTAATGGCTCTGTGTGTGTGTGTGTGTGTGTGTGTGTGTGTGTGTGTGTGTGTTGTATGGGGCTTTAATGTTCTTCTTTTTCCTGCTTTGCTTCACCCAGGTTTTATTTCCTCGGACAAGGAATCTGTTTCCTACGTCTTGAGAAAGAAGGAAGGTGGGAATATCGTAATGATAGTTGTGGGAGGGGCCAAGGAAACCCTACACGCCCGTCCCGGAGCTTACACCCTGGTGTTAGAGAACCGCAAGGGCTTCGTTCGGCTGGCCATAGAGAACGGGTAAGTAGGAACAGCTTCTGGGGGGTGGTCCTGATCATCTTGTACAATGTACATGACATGCAGTGGTGGGATTCAGCTGGTTCGCACCACTTTGGCAGAACTGGTCGCTAATTTTTTGTGGCCCAGTCCCAGAAAGGACTTCCGGAAGGGGCATCCATGTAGAGAACCGGTTGTTCACCTATTTGAATCCCACCATTGATCAGATGAAGTATTCCCGTGTTTCTCTTCAACATGCAAAGCTTGAGAAACAGTGCTCAAATCCATTATTTGCAGCCACCCAGACTTCCTTGGTTATCTCAACCTGTTTGGTTCCATCTCTCCTTCTGGTTCCTCTCGGTTCCTAGCACGCCAATCGTCCCCGTGTTCTCTTTCGGAGAGAATGAGCTGTATGATCAGGTTGAAAACCCCAAAGGACCCTGGGTGAGGTGGACACAAGACTGTTTGCAGAAGATCATGGGATTCTCCCTGCCTCTCTTCTACGCCAGAGGGATCTTCCAGTACACCTTTGGGTTTATTCCATACCGGAAGCCACTCTTCACCGTGGGTGAGTCTGTGTTTCTTCTGTGGCATCCAGAAATGAGAGGCAGGTAAAACAAGGAAGGCGAGTTGGCAAAGAAAGAAAGTTAGAATAAGGCTGAAGAAAATGGGGTTTTTGACTTATTAGTGAGAATTAAAATAGAACATACTCAAATAGACAAGCTGTGTACTTTGAATACTAGATTTTGTCATGAGCTGAGATAAAGAAAACTTTGGTCATTTAAAATTTGGAAGTATAAATATTAAAAGTTAAATTTGAATATTGGTTTGCTTATAAAGGTTGAATGTAAAAATAATTAAGATATATGTAAGCTAAAACTCTGTTGATAAATGTAATAAATATGTTTTTACTTAGCTGCTATAATAAAAATTACTAGCTTAAATATGAGATAGTAGACACCAAGAGAAAAAGAAGTATTTAATGTTGACATAAGAGAAATTTTGATTACTAAATTTAAGACATTTGGAAATTAATAGAAAATAAGAATGTTATACTGTATTATTAATTAGTTGATGTAAGATGGTGAGAAATAAAATATATTCAAATGGATAAGACGTGTATCCTGAACATTAGCTTTTGGGATGAATTGGGATAAAGGGAACTGTGGTTATTTAAAACTTGGAAAGTATAAACATTAAATGTTAAATTTAAATATTAATGGGAAATTAAAAATTGGGAAAAAATAATTAGGACATTGATAGTCTATAAAGATTGAATGTTAAAATAACTAGGATAGGTATAAACTAAAAATATTGATAAATGTAAGAAAGTTATTTTTATTTACTTGATATAATAAGAATTGTATTAGTTTAAACATGAGACAGTAAACACAAAGGGGAAAAGAGAGGAAATATTTAATGTAATAGTTTGAGACGTGTACTAAAGATATTTGTGTGTTATTGAATTATCGATTAATTCAGCCGCCATGTTGCTTTTTAAATATTTAAATGCAAAACTAGAAAATCAATAAAACTTTAAAAAAAACAAAAAAACGAAGGATCTGCTGGACGCATTCTTCCTGCTTTGAGGATTGTTTGAGGTTTCCTCTTATTAGCCTTCCAAGAGAGGAAACACAACCGGATATGCTAAGGCGATGTTAAAGAAAGTCCTCGACTTATGACAATTGGGCCCGACATTTCTGTGGCTGGGACATTTGTTCAGTGAGCGTTGGCCCATTTTACAACATTTCTTACCACCCTCTTTAAGTGGATCACTGCAATTGTTAAGTTAAATCCCACGGTTGTTAAGTGGATCTGGCTTCCCCTTTGACTCTGCGTGTCAGAAGGTCGCAAAAAAAGGGATCACGTGTCACCCCGGGACGCTGCAACTGTCATAAGTACATGCCAGTTGCCAAGCCTCTGAATGTGGACCAGGTGACCGTGGGGAGGCTGCAACGGTCATAAGTGTGAAAAATGGTCCTAAGTCCCTTTTTTTAGTGCCGTTGTTAACTTTGAACGGTCACTAAACAAACTGTGTTTAGGCAGGACTATCTGTGTTTAGGCAGGACTATCTGTAGTGCATTTTAAACAATATCTGTAAATTGCCCTATGGTGAAATGGGTGGCACGCAAGTTTAAATAAAATAAAATAATAAAATGAAGTAATAAAATAAAATAAAGTCAAGTCAAATAAAATAAAGAATAGAGTAGAATAGAATAGAATAAAATAAAATCAAGTCAAATAAAGGAATAGAATAATAGAATAATAATAGAATGCAATAAAATAAAATCAAGTCAAATAAAGGAATAGAATAATAATAGAAAAATAATAGAATACAATAGAATAGTAATAGAATAGAATAGATAAATTAAATTAAATTAAATTATTAAGCTATTATTTCTCCTGTTTGATCCCTCCAGTGGGAAAACCCATTCAGGTGGGGAAGAAGCACAATCCCAGCCAAGACGAAGTTGATGAGCTCCATAAGAGATACCTGGAGGCGCTCTGCATGCTGTTTGAGGAGCATAAATTGAAGTACAACGTGCCAGAAGACACGCATCTCTCTTTCGTATGAGACACGAAAAACCACAAACTTTGGCACCAACGACAAAGATCTGAAAACATCGAAGCCGCAAGAGACAAGCGACTCTTCCATGGAGATATATTCCTTTTGGGGCCAATGGACAAATCGATGGAAAAAATAAAACCTCACAGGTTGAAACGAGGGTCTTTGGTGCTCTCTGAGCTTGGTGGTTTTCTTGCAAATATTTCATTACCCAACTAGGGAACATCGTCAGTGCTAATAGTGGGTGGGGCTGATGATATTACCTAGTTTGGCAATGAAACGTCTGGAAGAAAACCACTAAGCTTTCAAAGCACCAAGCAACCCACAATTTAACCCTGAGCTATAGATATTCTCGTCTATCAGTTACCAAATTATCCCAATGCACACATAACAACACTAGACCCAGCATGAGTAACAAGGTTATTGTAACCAGAGCTGATAAGGATTTGGTGTGCTGGAGAACGGGAGGGGAAGCCCGTGCTTCAAGCTAATTGGGGAATGTGATTTATGACGGCTAATTGGAGGAGGGAATTGTGCTTGGATACTATGTGCTCAGGGGAGGGGAATTTAGGTTTTGGCTTCGATTATTTTAGCGCCGATGCTATGCTATTCAAAATAAAGATTTGTTAAGGTAAACAATGCCTCGAAGTTCTTTGAAGAATTTCATCTGTCGGAACCATGACAAAAAGATGGTGGAATCAATGGAATTGGCAGAGATGGGGAAAATTGGTAGTTTTGGTTTTATCAGGGTGAGCAATGTGGCCCCTGTACGACCTGTGGACTTCAACTCCCAGAATTCCCGAGCCAGCCAGGAAATTCTGGCTCAGGAATTCTGGGAGTTGAAGTTTACAGGTCGTAAAGGGGCTATAGTTGACCCACCCCTGGATTAGAGAAAAGATTCATTTTAATGCTGATTGGACTTTCTGCGTGAAACAGGGGGGGAAATGAAATTACGAAATATGCATTTGATGATTAGATAGAATAGAAGACAAAAATGAAAGCTATGTTGTAAATTTAGATTAAGAGGTTCATGGAAGCTGATACTTATGTGTTGTGGAAAAAAAGTTGGATTTTTTTGGGGGGGTATATTTCTGTATAGTTCTGCACTTTTGTCTTTGTAATCTCTTGCGTTCTTTGCTCCCCCACCCGCTTTTCTCTCTTAATTATTGGTTCCTGTTAATTTTTATCTCGCTCATTTAAAACAGGGGTCTTCAAACTTGGCCCTTTTATAACTTGTGGACTTCAACTCCCAGAATTCCTCAGCCAGTGTGCCTCAAGATGTATGGACTTCAGCTCCCAGAAGTCCATGTGGTATCGCTTCAAGAATATTGGGAGTTGAAGTCCACATATCTTCAAGTTACCAGGTTGAAAAACACCGGTCTAATTGTTTGAAGATCATGGCTTCTACCTTTGTAATATTTGATTACAGGATCAATAATTTGGATTATTAATTAATTTAATTTAGAATACTGCAGACTTTTAAAATGAATGAACTAGTTATGTGGTAACCGCCAAAGGAAGCAAGGTTATTATCCATTGATAGGATTAAGTGAATGGTCCTAACTTAATGAATACTGATTCCCAAGGTCCCTTTTTTTCTCCTGCCTTGCGTGAAGAAGGAAATTTGGCTGGAAACACGATTCCATCTTTCTATAGAAGGGGTCGACCTATTTTTCCACAGCACCTGAAGGCAGGACAAGAAGCAACGAATGAAAACCCATCAAGGAGAGAAGCAACCTGGAACTCAGGAGAAATTTCCTGACAGGGAGAAGAATTAACCAGAAGAGATTGGACAATTACATCATCATCACCATCATCATCATCATCATTATCATCATCATCGAAGAAAGAGACCGAGGGACTAATTCTGGCTGCACAAGACCAAGCCTTAAGGACAAATGCATACAAAGTCAAAATTGAGAAGACAGCAACAGACAGTAAGTGCCGCCTATGCAAAGAAGCTGAAGAAACAGTGGACCACTTGGTAAGCTGTTGCAAGAAGATCGCACAGACTGACTACAAGCAGCGGCATGACAAAGTAGCAACAATAGTGCATTGCAAGATCTGCAAGAAATATCATTTGCCTGTAAGCAAGAACTGATGGGATCATAAAATAGAGAAAGTGATAGAAAATGATAAAATTAAACTGCTCTGGGACTTCAGAATTCAAACAGACAAGCACCTGCAGCATAACACCCCAGAGTTAACAATTGTCGATAAGAAAGACAAAAAAGTCTGGATAGTGGACGTGGCAGTGCCTGGAGACAGCAGAATAGACAAGAAAGAACTGGAGAAGATAACAAAATACAAAGACCTACAAATAGAAATAGAAAGAGTGTGGCAAAGGCAAGCAAGAGTAGTTCCAATAGTAATAGGCAACTTGGGTGCAATTCCAAAACAACTGGAGCACAACTTGAACACCATTGGCATTGACAAATTCGCCATTAGTCAATTGCAAAAGGCAGCCTTACTAGGAACTGCTTCCATCCTGCGACGATATCTGCAATAACATCAAACATCCACATCTGCCTATCCCAGGTCCTAGGTAAGGACTTGATAGGTAGACAAAATGCCAAATCCAGTCTGAACATCTGGCTGACTGTGCGATGACCCATTATAATAATAAAGTTGGAAGGGACATTGGAGGTCATCTAGTCCAACCCCTGCTCAGACAGGAAACCCTATAACAGTGGTGGTGAACCTTTTAGAGACCGAGTGCCCCAAAACTTTTTGGGCAGTTGCAACATTACTGCTGGCTCATCTTTAAATGATTGTCCACTAGGACTCCTAGATCCCTCTCACAGTTCCTACTGTAGAGCAAGGTATCTCCTATACTATACCCCTGCACATTTGGTTTATGTTACCTAAATGTAGAACCTTACTTTTTTCACCATTGATATTTTATTTTGTTAGATAGCGCCCAGTGTTCAAGTCTGTCCAGATCCTCCTGTATCCTAAGCCTGTCTTCTGGAGTGTTGGCTATTCCTGCCAGCTTCGTGTCGTCTGCAAATTTGATCCGTTCCCCATCTATCCCCTCGTCCAGATCGTTGATGAAGATGTTGAAGAGCACTGGGCCCAGAACAGAGCCCTGGGGCACCGCACTACACACTTCCCTCCATGTAGATGCGGTGACCACGGGGATGATGCAACTATTGTCATGTGTGAAAAACGGTCATAAGTCGCTTCAGTGCCGTTGTAACTTTGGACGGTCAGTAAACGAACTGCTGTAAGTCAAGGACATTAATTTTTCTAGTCTGGTTCTCCATCGGGCAGAGAACATCCTTCTGCAAGGTAAGGAAGGAAATAAACATGGCAAAGGTTTCATGTGGGTGGCTTTTTTTTTTTTTAGTTAGGACTAAGTGGTGTCTGGGTGTGTAAAAGCCCTGCCTCTCCTTGCACAATTCTGCAGAGTGCAAGTAACGGCCTTTCACCCATCACTGCTGGATGTCTTCAGATTGGGAAATCAGGCAATCTGGAACATTCCCTCGTGGAAGAAAGACACACCAGATGGAAAAAATCGGCTTCAGAGTTTCTGCCATCCCCCTAATAAGGCAGGCTCTCAAACCAGCATTCAAATATTTTAAATTATTTGAGGATTCTGACCATACGGCGGGAAGAAGCACTGGAAAAATGGGAGAGCCGGCTCAGCAGAAGACTCTAACCCAGGAATGGCTCCTTAAATGGGTGACGGATCCCAATAGGCCATAAGAGTCTGGACTAGAGGTTAAGGGGCTGGTCTAGAAATTGGGAGTCAGGGGGTTCTAGTCCTGCCTTAGGCATGAAAGCTGGCTGGGTAACTTCGGCCAGGCACCAGTAGAAGGTGAGTTCTAGTCCTGCCTGAGGAGATATGAAAGCCAATTGGGAGACTTTGAGCTAGTCCTTCTGTCTCCCAGCCTATCCCACCTCACAGAGTCGTTGTTATCTGGGGGGGGGGAAGGAAGAAGGAATATTATACATGTTGCCACTTTGTATTACTTATAAACTAATAAAGCCGGCTTAAAAAACAATCTCATAAACCCACGAAGAGGGGTGCAGCGTGCTTTCCAATGCTCCATTGGCGTCTTTCCCAAGAGGAGGAGGTGCACCAGAAGGAAGATGGGTCCCTTCCAACTTCTCTTGAACGTTTCTACTGCTTTTGGGTGAGGTGGCTGAGACGTAACACAGAAGCAAGTATTTATGACCCAGCCCTACACACTGAACCGGTCCAGAGTGCCAAAAGGGGCTGAGTTTCCTCCAGATTTCCACATTAATTACTGTAATTGCACCCAGCACCGTGTTCCTCCTGGGCCAGCAGAGGCCACAGACTTTGCCCCTTCCTCCTGCAACCAGCACCACAACGTTCGGCCAGCGTCTTCAGTCCGAAGAGGGTGGAACGGGCTCGGCTGCTAGGATGAAGATTGAATTCGCTCCTCTCTACATCCCGTGGGAGAGACGGCTTCAGACGGCTTCGGTGCTTCAATGGGTCTTCTGTTTTTTTTGCATGGGTAAAAAAAAAAAAGATGGTTATTCCCAATTAGGGGACGTTTTGAAGGATATGGAGGTCACTGGGGGGGGGAAGGAAGGGAGGGGGCTGTCTTTTAAGGCAGAGGTCCCCAACCTTTTGGGCACCAGGGACTGATTCCGTGGAGAGAGGTTTTTCCGTGGACCGGAGGGTGTGTGTTCTTGTGTGCTGCCTATATTCCACGGATGGGGCTTTTCTTGTTTGTGAGGACCTGTTGCTCGCATGTCATGGCCTGGTACCGGTCCACAGACCGGGGGTTGGGGACCCCTGTTTTAAGGGGTTGCCAGGAAAATCTCCACCGGTGGCTGCATTGCGCATCAAAACCGAGGGGTACATTTTGCAGAAATAAGACTCTGAGATGGACAGGGATCCGTTTTTCAAGCTCCTTCAGGCAGGGATCTGCCTTTCTTTTTTTGCTGGCCTCGACTTACAACAATTCATTTAGTGACCAACGTCACAAGGGCACTGGAAAAAAGTGTCATGACTGTTTTTTCAAGCTGACAAGCGTCGCAGCAGTCCCACGGTCAGCTGATCAAAATTCAGACGCTTGGCAACTGGTTCATATTTAGGACGGTCGCAGCGTCCTGGGGGTGTGTCACATGATCCCCTTTTGCGATCTTCTGACAAGCAAAGTCAATTTGGGAAGCTGGATTCACTGAACAACCATGTGACTAACTTAACTGCAGTGGTTCATTTGTGGCAAGAAAGGAGTAAAACGGCAAAATTCACTTTATAGCACTCTCACTTAGCGACAGGAATTTTGAGTTCAATAGGGGTCGTAAGCCAAGGAATACTTTTATAACATATCCTGGATGAAACTAATCAAGGAGAGAAGCAATTTGGAACTAAGGAGAAATTTCCTGACAGTGAGAACTGTCAGGAATGACTTTTCTCTGGAAATTTGCCCCTTCATGATTTGCAGACTTCAACTCCCAGAATTCCTCAGCCAACATGGGGGAACTATGGCCTTTTTATGACTCGGGGACTTCAACTCCCACAATTCCTGAGCCAGCTTGGGGAACTATGATCCCTTCATGCCTCGTGGACTAACTCCCAGAACTCCTCAGCCAACATGGGGGAACTATGGCCCCTTCCTGACTTGTGGACTTCAACTTCATCTTAAACAATCCTAAAGCAA